GACTAAGGGAAATACTTCAAGAAAGAGAATGCCTGTTTTATTACAGAAATGTGCTTCTTGGGGTCTCAGAAACCCCTTGAGGAAATTAGCAGAGGGCCACGAGTCTTGGCAGCAGTCGGTTTTTGCAAGGTGTGAGTTTCCTTATGAGGGTAGACAAGACAGTGGCAATATAGCGTTTGCTCATTGTTGCCTCTTGGGTTTTAGGAGGAGCAAATACGATATTCTTATGGAGAAGCTCTCTGGCATGCTGAGCAACCGGCCAGGTCAGATGGAAACACTGGGCAATATAAAGGAGGAACTGGTAAGATTAAGGGCTTTTGAAATCAAAGACTGTGCATGTGATCTGCCCCTTCAGTGGGCAGAATCTTCAGACCTGGCACCTGTTCTTCAGAGCCTCAGAAGCATTAGAGAGATCTATCTTTGAGACCACATGAATCCTGGGGATTTTCTTCAGCTGAAAGGTGGAAGTTCAGCTATAGGATCTCCAAGAGCACCCTTATTTTATTTCTTTATAGGCTCCCTGCCTGAAATTCCACATCTCTGTTTGTCCTCTTTCCACTTTTTTCCAAAAGCCTCCTATCCTGTTGCCAAACCTTGGAAGTTATGGGCACAAAAGTACTCCAAGCCCCATTTCTCCAGGTCTAAACAGTTGTTGAATCCTTGCTGTTGCTAGGCTCTTGGTAGCTAACTCAACTGAAAGCAAGATTCCCATCTTCAATACAAGTTAATGAAAGAGTAAAATATAAGGTTATAAGTATCATGGCAACTAGGTTCGTTTTATTTTACAACCCAGCATATCTTTTAGTCTACTGGAGCAGGTTTTCTGTTCTGTCTGATGAACTGGCAAGCTTGTTGCTCTCTTCCTGAATAACCGAGGTGGCTGTTTTTCATGCGAACTTTTATGAAGCTCTGAATAGGCACTGGTGGAGGTGGGAGGAGGGTTGTCCAGGTGTTCCCTCATTTCTTTATTGGATCCTTACTTGTATGGATGAACCAGAGTTCATCAGTTGGTTGAGAATATTTCCGGACCCCTGGAGGCCGATTCCACATTTTTGTCAGCACCAAAAGCAGGACCTTCTCAAAGCAGACAGTATCTTTGTCTGGGGAACCCCACAGAGAATATTCTGCCTTGCTTTTCATTAAATTGTTATTAATGCAGGATTGTAATAAAATACTTGGAGAGGTGTTTTTGAATAGCTGCTGGTAAATTAAAGTTATTTCCGTTGGAATGGTCTGTGTGTGTTTGAGAGAAAGAGAGAGAGAGAGGGCATAAATCACAAATATAGCTAGAATGCAAAAATAGCATTAACTTTTCATTTACTTTGTTCAAAAATGCATGAATGTGGGAAAATTATACTTTGAATGTATCTTAATTGACTGATACTGGGCAAATGGGATAGCTTGGCTGATTGAGAAGTATACACATTAACAGAAGAGTTCAGTGTCCTCCTCCTCCTCATGCTGCTGCGCAGGGACTCTGTGAAAAAACCTTTAAGCGCCTCTACCAGTACATGCTGAATGCCAACTTGGGCAAGATGGTCTCTGTTCCGCTGCAGGATGTGTGCTCTGACGGGAGGCCTTTCAAGACAAAGAAGGGTAAGCGAGGGGAAGTCACTTGGGACAGCCCAGGAAAAAGGTGGAGCGGGGACCTGTGATGTTCCTGAGGATTCAGAACTGCCTGGGGGGACATAACCAAACTTTAAGGAAGTCACAGGGTTGAAGGAAATACACAGACCGGAGTCTCCCTGCCCTCATTTGCCTCTTTGGCATTGGAGTTGGCTCATCGGTGCCTTTGGGAGATGCTGAAATCAGGAACAAGCGAGTGGTGCTGAAGCAGAGTCTTATACTGCTGTGATGCTGAGGGTGGAGATTATGCAGTCTGTCTGCAGCCATTCCTTAATCCTTTTGTGTTTTGTCATTCTCAGGAACACAAGTCATGGTTCGTTGTTTAAAGCTAGTGAAGGAATATCAGAAGAAGGTGGCTGACTTTCATGATGATGATGATGAAGAAATGATTGCCAAAACTGTGCAGCCTGTGGACATTGTGTATGAAAAGGACATGCTGGCACAAGCATATGAGCTGAGTGGGTATTGTCTGGGTTGCTTTTTCTGTGCCCTTCAGCTGATGCCATCTTGGTTGCAGGGTGGAAACAGGTGATTTGGTCATTGTGGCAGAGGGACTCTGTCAGGACCCACTTCAACTAATCACCCAAGAAAGCAGAACTCTTGAAACAGGCATTGTCTCAAAAGGAACTTTTATTAGGGACTAGTGACAGTAGGGAGTGTAAGGTGAGATCTGAAGAAAAGCCCGTGTGAATGATATAATTAAAGCAAGCAATAGCGAAAGTTACCAACATAATCCCCCATGCACGCCCTCCCCCCAACAGAATGGCAGGCCCCAAAAGAATAGAAGACAAAAGAGAATAGGTGAGCGGTTTTGGGGTCTGCCATACAACTCAGTGCTAAATTTGCCTAAGCAATGAAGTCTAGCCTTGCTTAATTTTTAAGTGCAATTTGAATTGTTTTGGATTTGAATTTTCAAAGAATATCGAAGATATTCTTATTTATTTGCTTATTTATTGGGTTTGTAAGCCAGCCAGTTCTTGGCAATATACCATGTAACTTCACAGTAGCATAACACAAATAATATATGAAGTTTTCTACTTATCCAGTAAGCTTCATGGCCATGTGCAGATCAGACTCACGATGTGAGTTTGGCACTTAACTATCTCTGGCCTTGTTAACCTGCAGGGTTGTTACCCTCTGAATTAGCCATGGACCCTTCTTCCTAGCTGAAATGTTTAATCCCAGATGGGATAGAGATTTTGCCACATGTCTGCCCAAATCTCCTGACTCTCACAGAGACTGTTCTGAGCAGGATTACCAGCCCACATTGACTCATTCTCAATTTCTCTACCTCACAGTTGAAAGCTGGGGGACTAAAGGTATTTCTCAGGCAGAACTTCGAGCTGCAATGAATGTGGGAAAGCTGGAAGCCCGCATGCTGTGTCGCTTGTTGGAGAGATACAAAGTGATCAAGGTAATGTTCCGGAGGCCATTTTGTGGTCAGCAAAAACAGGGGAAAGGATTGTCTGCCAGCTTTGCCCTGTTTCCCAAGGACATTTGGAGAGCTTTGAGGATAAGGCAGAGGTGACAGCTGTGCTCCTTTTTGTTCAGGGGTTCATGGAGGACGAGGGTAGGCAACGCACAACCAAATACATTGCAGGGACGTATGCAGAACAGAGCGATCTGAGCCAGCAGTATGAGCGGGAGAAGGCTCGGAGTGAGAAGCTGGCTCAGGCCAGCATAGCTTTTGCACCTGGTGAGACTTTGCCTGGAGAAGGGCTCTTGCTGGCAGAGGAGGAAGAGGAGGAGGAGGAAGAAGAGGAGGAAGGGCAGGCAGTGCTCCTGGAACTGGAGAAGGAAGAGGAAGAGAAAGACGGTGCAAGGCAGAAGAAGGGCAATGCACAGGCCCAGCCCGGGCTTGGTTTTGAAGGAGGAGGTGGGCTTTGCCAGTCAGCAAGAAAGAAAGGTACTGAATGTGCTTTGCATGTTGCCCAGGCTGAGGGCATCAAAAGTGTTGAAGGTCAAAACTGTTTCATTCTCCCTAGGAAAACCCAAATCTTACCTTGGGGTGTCTCTGGCCACGTCTTGTCTTTATGGTATCAGTTTGTGCCAGGAACCCCTGTTTCTGCCCTTCTTAACACAATCAGTCTAAACCTTCCTCTACATTGATTGAAAATTGAGTTTGGGGCGCTGGGGAAATTGCCAGACTCTGAAACGGGATATCAACTGAGATGAGAGAAGTCTCAGAGCACTTTCCAAAAATTTGAAGTTGCTCAGAGCACTTTCTTCTGTTATGGTCAGTATAAGCTCATAAACATACCTAAGACTCCCACCCCGTTCCCCCTCCCCCGACACATACACAACAATAACCCTGTGCGGTGGGATGGGCTGAGTGAGAATGACTGGCTGAATATCATCCAGCCACCTTTCCAGCGAAAGGGAAGCTTAAAATCACTCTCTTCTGGTTTTTAGGTCAGTGCCTTCTCCACTATCCCAGACTGACTGACTATATTAAAATAAAAGATTATCAACCATGTTTAATGGCAGATTGTTTATCCAATTCTTCTTTTCTTTGGATTCAATTCCTTGCTCAGCAAAGAGGATGGTTGGAGGGGGCTCCCTTCCCCTTCACTTTCAGCAGCAAAGCTCTGTGGAAGCTGCCTGAGGAAGCCACTCACTCGGGGTGTCCTTCTTCCCAAAGCAGCTAAAAAGAAGAGGTCATCTCTGCTCCCTCTGGAATACTTGGAAGGCAGGGATTCTGCTCTGGACTGGCTCAGGTCAGAAGCCAGCCGCTCCAACTGTGCCCGTTTCAAAGCTGTCTCTGGTGATGCAGCCGTGGTTGAAGAAGTCCTGCCTGAAACCCTCAGAGTAAGAATCAAAGGCTTGCAAGCTGGTGATGGCAAAGCCAGGCAGGGATATAGCGGGGGATGGGACAGTGGTCTCCCTTTAGCCCCTGTTTAGACAGTGGAGAAGGGCCCCAGAAAGAGCTTCCCTAGGCACAGACAAGCGGAGCCGAGCAGACCTTGACCCACTTGAGGTTGAGGAGGACTCTTCTCTGGTCCAGGGCCAGGTTGGCTGTCCTTGCTCTCTTTTGTGCTGTGGCTATTTTCCAGGGAAGCTTTCACAGGGGACCCCACTCTGGCATTCTCCTCTTGAAGATGGGACTCCACTGAATTCATCGGCTTTTTACCAGACTTTCTTACACACAGTTTTCTGACTCTGCCCTAGAAGAGTTGTGATGAAAAAAAGAGAGAGAAGAGCTCACAGGCACCGCCAATGGAGCGATCCCATGAGACCTACCGCCTGCTGAAACGTCGGAACCTCATCATCGAGGCAGTCCAAAATCTGCGCTTGATCGAGAGTTTGTTTGTGTAAGTCGGAGTGGCAGACCGGCCTGCCTGCCTGCCTGCCAGGTAGCAAGCAGGGCCAGGTGGCAGAAATGCTTGGCAGATGTGCCACCCCTTTCCCTTCAGGTCCTCGTAAGCTACCTTGAGGAGAAGAGCTGCTATTGTGATGATTCCTCCTCTCCTTCTGCCAGAAAGGAATCCTCAGTTGGTTCCTTCTTTCAGGCTTCAGAAAATGATCATGGATCAGGAAAAACAAGAAGGGGTCGCCACCAGGTGCTGCAAGAAATCCATTGTTCGCTTAGTCCAGAAGCTCTCCCAGGAAGGCCTTCTGCGCCTCTTCCGCACGACTGTTATCCAGGATGGCGTCAGCCGCAAGGTAGCCCTCCCTTTCTGAAGTGCTGGGAGAGAAGCTTCCTGGGTAGGCAGAGCAAGGGAAGAACCTGCTCTTTTCCCCTCAAGGGGCTAGTTTTACCCTTATGGAGGAGTCTCAGAGGCTGAATTCCAGGGAAGGAGGCCGCATACGCAGGGCTCAGCAAACACAGCCCCTGCCAGTTCTTCCAGAAGTTTTCTTGTCAAGTGCTTCAGATTTTTTTAAAGGGATTTTTTTCCCCTTTTCAAATAAACAGTTGAACTTTGGAATAAGGGAGCAGCCGGCGTGCCGCCTGTTCTCTCAGGGAGCATTTGCACACTTGCATCGGGGGGGGAGGGGCTGCCTCTGTGCCGCTTTGAGCCCCTCTTGTTTAGCTTGCAGAAGCTGGAGCTGTGGGGTAAATTTGAGGAGGCCTCCCCCCATCTTGAGGGCTCTCTCCCAACTAGCGAATGGAAAGACCAGGGAACTCTGCTGCTTCTGCCTTTGGGGCAGCTCCTCTTTCATGAGGAGAGAGCCAGTTTGGTCTAGTTGTTAACGTACCAGGCTAGAAGATGGGAGACCATGAGTTCTACTCCCGCGTTAGCCATGTAAGCCGGCTGAGGGACTTTGGGTCGGTCCCTCATCCCAAACCACTTCACAAGATTGTTGTTACAGGGAAAATAGGGGGAGGAGATTATGTTGATGAGTTTGCTTCCTTGAGTTTTGTAAAAATAATAAAGGTAGACACAAATAAATGTGGATCCTTTTCTTGACAGGTTGAATTTGTGGTGGATCCATCTGTGACTCCCGGTGACCCCCTGGTAAAAAGCGCCATTGAGCAAGTGCGTTTCCGGATCTCCAATTCAAGTTCTGTGAACAGGCACGTTCTCAAGGATCTGGGGGGGGGGGAACCACGTGTAGAGGTGCGACCCTTCTGAGGCCTAAGAGAAGCGAGGGCTCAGAAGGTCGGTCATCCTCCTCCCCCCCCGATGGGGCTCCTTTTCCTGGGAACGGGGCCGCGCGGACTCTGCTTGCAGAGATTTTGAGGGTCCTCCCTTCAGCAGCAGCTTGCCAACTGCCCCTTGTGAATAGATGGGGAGGGGCTTGCAAGAGCTCTCCCGACCTTGCTGTTCACTGACGGTAGTGGAATTTCTGTCCAGGCAACAGATTTTTGAGGCCAAGATTTTGCTTCTCTTGTTCTCCCTAATTTTCAGGATCAAAGTTCAGCAGACGTCTCCAGATCCAAAAGAACAGGAGCCTGGAGCTGGGACCACCGTGAAGGAAAGGAAAGATTGCTCTTTTTCTTGCCAAAGTGAGATAGTTGGTGAGAAGGTGTGCATCGCCAAATTCAACTACCATCCCGTTACAGGTAACAGGAGACCTTTTCTGCTCTGCCATGGCTTAGTGGGAGGAGCTTGGGGGCTGCAGTTTGAAACATAGCAGCAGGTGTTTGACTCTGGATTTCTGAAGGGGAAACAGCATCTATTTCTTTTCAGTGCCGGGCCTTGGACGCTCCCTGGGCTTCCTACCCAAAATGCCGCGCTTAAAGATGACCCACATCTTTGTCTGGTACCTGATCTATGGACATTCTGTCAGCTTGCGGAGGAGGAACCCTGGCTGTCACATGCTGGGAGAGGACACAGGCTGTGCCTCCTCCTGCTCTCCACTTGACCCGGCAGATGACAAGGAGTCTCTGCGAAGCCCAGAGGTTCCTGCCCAAGAAGGAGATCTGGAGCTGGGAGAACAGAAAGGTAAGGATCCAGCTCAAAAGCAACAGTTGAAGGATTTTGCACAACCCTCGGGAAATGTCCCCCAACTTATTCATAGTTTAGCCAAGGCAGCCTTCTCTCACAAAGCTATATCAATTCTGGCCTGCCCATCTCAGTAACGTGCAGCTTTCTGCACAGGGGACACAGTGACCTCCATAACGTGTCCTCTCTCATTCCCTCTGGAGTCAGTTCTTCTGTCCCCAACCCCAATTCAGGCAACCACGCCTTTCTGAGCTGCTATCATGGTCAGCACAGTTCCCAGTGTCCCTGTCTGTCTGCAGCAACCTATTAAAGGCAAGATGAAAATGGTGACCCTCCATTTCTGGGGTAGGCTGAAAAGCAAACGTATCCTGAACATCCCGTAGGTAAAATGGCCAGAGCCCTGCACCACTTTCCTTTTTCCTTGCAGTGTATGTGGATGAGGCCTCCTGGAAGCGTCACATCCCTCCTCAGCCAGTCCACCGGGAGTTTGGATACGGCTGGGCACTTGTTAGTGACCTTCTTCTGTGTCTGCCTTTGTCCATCTTTGTCCAGATAGTGCAAGTCAGCTATAAGGTGAGGGGCTTCGAATTAAGAACTGTAACAGAGCCTCCTCTTCAGGAGCGAATGCACTTGAAACCGCGTTAGGCCTAGTCCTTTCCTGGGAAGGCAGAGGGCGGGGGGACTAGTGGGCCTTCAAAGTCCTTGCCAGGTCATGCATCATAGGCTGGAGTCAGTCTCCTCCTTGATGAACTTTGGGCTTAGCTCTCAGCTGCAGGACGAGGTGGATTAAGGCTCGGTCGCCAATCTTGCATTCTGCTATATGAAATTAATATAGGTAGATAACCTGGAAGATTATTTGATGGACTCTGTGAGGAAACATACACTCATCAGAAACCTTCCCAGATCGGTTCGACAGCAGCTCCTTTACAAGCGGTGGGTTCTGATTCATTGGGGCTCTCCTGGCAGTGTTTGATTCTAGTTGGATGTAGAATTTGGGCCAGAGTAGCTCACTGTTAGCACTTGCCCTAAAATGACCCTAGGTACAAAAATGTCCTTATCTTTGATGGGATGATTTTGATAGTCAGAGGGTGGAATGTTACATTACCATTACTTATCCTTTGATTAGCTTTATTGATTGATTCGAATAATTTTCAACTGCAGTCTTATCACTACAGGAGGTACATCTTTTCAGTAATGGAAAGCCTACAGCGGTTATGTTATATGGGATTACTGCAGTTTGGCCCCACAGAGAAATTTCAAGAAAAAGATCAGGTAATGTGTGTTATTATTTCTGTATTGTTTTTCTGAAACCGAATGCTATGCTGAATTATTTATAATTAAGGCAAGAGAAACAACATTCTTCAGGGAAAGAGTTTCCTACAAAAACAACGGTACCCTGTTCTGAATTGAAGACTAGCAGGCTGATTATGACAGACCTTAACCGGAAAAAAGTTCTCTTCATCAGATGCACAAAATATGATATTCTAAAGATGGTTTTGATATTAGACTACAACTGAAACGTCTGCTGACTAATTAAGCAGAAGGTGTTGGCATCATCATCAATTAATGCTTCATGCAGGATAATTGATTTATGATGCGCCATCAAATTGGTATTGCCTTTTAGGAACCATGTAGATAGGATGCTACCCCAGCATGCATCTTCAGGGCTTTCAGTGGTTCACCTGTTGCTGCAAATGAGTCCATCCATCTTGCTACTAGCTATTCTGTGCTCCTTCCTTCCCCCTCTCCCAGCTTTACGAACTTCTCGGGAGCTAGGCCTTTGTATAATGTGCACTGGGCAAAATAGGGCAATTTGAGCTTAGTCATCACATACAAGATGAGCAAACCCTTACAATACGATGCTCAAACTTTAAATGAAAGTGGGGCTTTCCAAGAAATACATTTTAATAGCTACTGAGTGACCAGGTGCCTTTGCTTGTTTTAAAATAAATCTGGATGCCAGGATTACTGGTCTGCCCCTTTTCTGTTGCCTGAATCTAGAGATCTGCATGTTTGCATTCATCCTGGCCAGAAGGGGCTTTGGTCTGAGCATTTTCAACCTCATGCAGGTGTTTGTGTACTTGAAGAAAAGAGCGGTGATTGTGGATACCACCATCTGTGAACCCCATTACAACCTGGCTCAAAGCAGCCGCCCATTTGACAAGCGCCATTATACCCTGAGCACTCTCCAGGATGTGGAGAACTTCTGGTTTGACCTGCAGTATGTCTGCCTCAACACACCCCTCGGTATGATGCTGGCAGCTGGTCCCCAACCCTGCTTCAGATACTGGTGGCTGGCCATCCAATTCTCCATCCCTGGCATCTGGCTCTTCCCTGTCCCCCACTGCCAGTGGATCGGTTTGCATCTGGCTGCTCGCTTTGCCTCTGCTGATGGCATCTGTTGGTTGCTTCAGGGATTATTCGCCAGCCCCGTGCAAAAAGGAATGGAGCTCCAGCTGGGGAGGCTGACACTCTCTCAGAGGTAGCGCTGGAGCAAGAATCAGCAGCCCACAAACACAACCTGGAGCGCAAGTGTGCCATGCTGGTGTACACAACGTATGTCTCCCCTGCTGTGAATGGTTGTGGGAAGGACTCAGTCTTCCTTTGCTTGGAGATGGGTTGAGGAAGCAAGCTCTATGCCGTCTCTTTCAGAGGGGCCAGAGGGGCTTCTTTCCCTTCCCCCAGAGAGACTGCTCACACTTTCTGTTCTGCTAACAGTGGTGGGGGGTCCTGGTAGAAACGTGGCTTGGTTCCTGGGAGGGGGCAGGAAAAGGACCCCAGATTCCTCCAGCTCCCCCGGATGGAGGACGGATGCCCTTGAGACTTGGGAGAAGAGTTGCTCACCTGGTCGTTTCCTTTCCCTCCCAGAGGACGCCGAGAGGTGGAGGATGAGGGCTCTGTCCCGGGGGACGGGCTTGGGGCAGGCGGTTTAGACTCCAGCTTTTACAGCCACTTGAAACGCAACTGGATCTGGACAAGCTACATCATTAATAAGACTAGGAAGGTGAGGCTTTTCTCCAAAGCTGTTATTTTTCTCTGTCCCACTTTTATTATATTGTTATTATATGGAAGTAGACTTTTGGGAATGACAGTGCCCCTTTTTCTGATAAATATTTGGATTTCTGCCTTATTCTTGGAAATCTCTTTTTAACTGTCCCAATTCTGGTACAAGAAGGCGGCAGACTATCTGGATCCCTTTCCGTCGTGAAGGAGGCTGGGAACCAAACAGAATGCACCACCACCCCTCTTCAAGTTCAGTACTTTGAAGTAACTTGGGGGCAGTGCACCCTCCTGGTCCTGCTAGACTTCTTAGCAGTGTCCCTCCCGTCAGCTGTGGATGAGGGTGGGCATCGGGAGGGATCCTGTCCCAGTGGTTCCCCCTGGGGGAAGGGAGAAGGTAAAGAAACATAAGGGCGAGGGGAAACTCTCCTTGTTAAATTAGTAGTTTTTCTGTCCACCATCCCAAATCTGTTCTTTAACAGCCTTTGCTCTGTTCTTCTCCCACTAACTCTTTACCACCAGGAAAATGCAGTTTCTGAAGCCGGGCACCTGGTCAGGCTGCAGACCTTCCTGCCCAAGCGCTCCCTGCCATTTGGCCCAGGAGGTGAGGGGACAGAAGGGGGGTTGTGAATGCAAGAACTACAAGGATGCTTAACGCCTGGTGAGCAGTTTAGGAAGGATTTCCTAGGATGCCTCAACCACAGAATAGAGCAGCAGAGGCCAACCTCAGGATGGTTTTTACACTACAAGGAGATACATGGCTTCTATGATTGCTAAATAGGAACGGGTCTGATCAACTCGCATTTCAGTGACCAAATTCTCTGCTGATTTTGATTTGTGTATGGGTTGCATCTTGCTTCCCTTCAAGTTGAATATCAACCTGTTGAGCACTATGTTAGTCTATTCCTAAAACATTGATAGCAGAGGGTAGAAAGCAATTGCAGGGATTATCTCTTCAGTCTTCGAGTTCCTCAGCAAATTGGCTAAGAAGAAGACAGCCATGATGCTGTGGGTTTCCATCCTCTGTGTTTTTCTTCAGTATTTCTTGTCACCCTCAGGTGCCCAAAGTGCTCTCTGGAAAGAGAGTCTGTTAACTTCAGAACCTGCTCTACAGAAAGAAGACCTGGCAATTGAGAAAGAGGCAAACCTGAACAGAAGCCAGAGAGTGAGGGGGGGGAAGAGCCAGAAGAGGAAGCGGCTGAAGAAGGACACAGTGAAGAGGACAAAGAAGAGGAAGAGAAAGAGAGGTAACACAACAGCAGGAGGCTCTTGGTGCAGAGCTCATCTGCTCGAGAACACGGGGAACTTTGCCCAAGTCAGACTTCCTGGCAAGTTCTTGTGGTGGTTGGCCTTTCTGCTCAGTTTACTCTTTTAGAATTCTTTGGATTTAATTATTCATTGCTCAGAATTGATAGAATGCCCACTTACTACAGCTCTGGGCAGCATGCAGTTAAAAATAATCTCAGGCAGAAGCTCTGTAGTGGCATGGATCGGTGCCCCGCTTGTGAATTAAACTTTGTTTGCTTTCTCTCCCTCTGCTCAGACGAAAATCCTGAGGCGAAGAACCAAAAGCCACGCTACCACGATGAGGTGGACCGAAGGGCCCTGCAGAGAATGACCCGCCTGCGTGTGACATGGACCGTGCAGGAGGACAGCCTGCTAATGCTCTGCCGCATTGCAAGCAACATTCTGAATGCCAAGGTACTGGCTGGCGTCAGCCAGGCCGAAGAGCAGCGAGTGGAGGCCCGTCCTCTTGCGGCATCGCCATTGCCAGGTCCTGGGAGGGAGTGGAGGCGAGACTCTGAAGCTGAGCTGCACCTGCCCAGCTGCTCTTTTCCTTCCTGCAGGTGAAGGGGCCGTTTGTCCCCTGGCAAGTGGTCCGAGACATCATGCATGGCAGCTTTGAGGAATCGCTAGACAAGACTTCTCATTCTGTTGGACGGCGGGCCCGCTACATTGTCAAAAACCCCCAGACCTACCTCAACTATAAGTGAGAGGCTTTACTTGAAATGTTATGCATTTGCGGAGGGGGGGGCGCTAATTCTGATCTCCCCTCGGCTGCTTTTAGCTTCATCAGGGCTTTGCTCTCCAGGGCTCTGATCTCCAGCAAACAACTTGCCTGGTCACCCACTGATCCATGGCTGCTGTCACTTTCTCATCTTCTCAGAGTGGGCCCTTGGCTCCCTTGGGGGAGAAGCCGGGCTGCCCCAGGATGGAGCCCAGCGCTGCTGCCTGTCTGTCCAGACTGTGGGAAAGACTCCTGGGTGTGCCTATGGGGAGGGGATGCTTTCTCCAGGAGGACAGAGCAGTCCAGAGGAAAGTTGCTCCTCAGGTTGGACTTGTTATCTTTTGCAGAGTTTGCCTTGCTGAAGTCTACCAAGACAGAGCCCTGATTGAGGACTTCATGAACAGGAAGAGCGACTACCAGGATCCCAAGGTGAGAAACGTTGCTGGAGTTCATTCTGCTGGATTATTTCCCCAGAAAGGCCAGTGGGCTTCAGCACCAAGACCCAAGCAGAAGCCTCAGTTGCTGTCCCACCTCCAGCAGAAGCCAAGGACAGCCATTCATGAGAAAGAAGGCCAGGAGGGGGAGGGGAGAGAGCCCCCGGGCCAGCTAATTCCCTTCCTCCCAGCAGCCAATGGGCAACTCCCAGACTTGTTCAGGTCGAAGCCGTGTAGCCTCAGACTCAGCGTGTTCCTGCCAAAGGAGGTGGGCAGCTGCAGCCAAGATGCTGAGTTCTCAAAGGTTCTCAAGCTCGGCCCCGGTTTCAGTCCGCCTACAACTGCTCCCGGGGTGTTGGTGCTCTTGAGGCAGGATTGTGGGGGAGGGGGAGCAACAAACACTGCTTGCCTGACCTGCTTGTCCCATTTAAAATCCTTTGGGACGTTAGCTTTCTCCTGCCTGGAATTCCTAACCAATCCAGTCCAACAGTTGATTCTCTCATCTATTTGAAAACTGAGGAGAAAAATATTTCAAGTTTGCTACTGCCCAAAACTGCATGTTCCTAAGATAGGATTTCTGGTGTTCTTGTGAAAAGGTTTGTTCTGAAGAGTTCAAGGACTTTGTAGAGAGACTGAAGGAGAAGTTCAGCTCCACGCTGGGGATTCCCAGGCCAGCCGTTCCAGACACCTTGCAGGAGCTTTTCCTCAGGTGGGTGGCAACCTTTGCCAAGCCTGCCTGTTTTTAGGGGTCTGCGTAACCAGGGGGGCAACTGCCTTTGTTTCTCAGTCCCTGGCCGGTTCCTCTTTCCCAGGCTGCCTTTTGTTCCGCGGGGAGCTTGAGTAGACGGCTCAGGGGAGAATGTGCTGTGCAATTGGGCAGACGTGGCTTGCGGGCAGGGGTGTCTGTTGCAGGGAGCAGGGGTCATTTTCAGCCCTTTGCTGCTATGCAGTTGCTTTCCAGCTCAGGAACAGGGCAGAGAATTCCCCAGGGAAGAGGCCAGGCCCCCATTAGCACCCAGCCTGAGGAGAGTTGGCTTCCTTCTGGCCTTTCTCCAGGTTCCGGGTTCTGGCTATTGGAAATGAAACCAGCTGTGGCAGAAAAGAAGATGAACTCTGCAGGTGAGGCTGCAGGTGCTACTCTTGGGACTCTCTGCTTGCAGAGCCCCTTCCTCAGGAGAGACAGACGCCCATCCCAACACCCAGCTCCCATAAGAGGGGCTTCCCGTTGATCTCCCTGCTTGAGAGTTGCAGTCAGACAGAAGGGTCGTTGAAACCCAGATACCGCGGATCTGCTCTGGCTGGTGGGTGGGCAAGCCAAGAGGGTCGGGCTAGGGCTCTTCCCTTCAGAGAGCTGGACGGGGGCTCTGCTGAGCCTGCCCTGGCTTCTGCGTTCTGGGCCATAAGGATGCTCGAACTGAAACCCCAGAGCCAGGCTTGGGCTAAAACTGTGGCTTCCCTCCTCTTCCTCTTAGCGTGGCTGACATACACTTTCTGGTGCTGCAGAACCTGATCCAAAGCACCCTGGCCCTCTCCAACAACCAGATGAAGTCCTTCCAGTCCTTCCAGGTGAAAAGAAGCAGGCTGGACTTTAGGGGTCTAGGAAGAGCCATTCTCTAAAGCATACCCAAAAGTGGTGTGGGAGATAGAAACCTGATTTGCTCTGCGGCAGAGAATGCATTTGAAAACTCTGCAAATGTTACTGTTCTGTCCCACCCCAGAAGTGCACCTATCGGTCAGCACTTGGACTCCCCTTTGCCTCCCGCAGTCTACTTCTGTGACGCTGGACCTAGGAGCGGCCCTGACTGTGCAGAGTCAAGGGTTAGGGTGAGGGTGTTGGCCAGGCACCCCCTCCTGTCCCCGGCTAGATTTACAAAGTAGCTGTAAAGCATGGGAGGGGGGCCTCCTCCACCCATAGAGGGGAGTGGGGGAGCTTCAGAAGGCACTGAAAGGGGCCTTTCCTTCGGCAGACCTTCCGCCTATACCGTGACTATCAGGATGACATCCTAGTGAAAGCTTTCTTGGATTGTCAGAAGAGGAGCTTGGTGAACCGCCGCCGGGGTAATCACTGCCTGGGCCCCAAGAAAAGTCGGGCACTGCCCTTCGTACCCATGTCTTACCAGCTCTCTCAGAGCTATTACAGGTTGGTGCCTTGCCTCTCCTTCTATCCTGAGTTGGCAGGGCCAAACGTGAAGGATGTGTAACCAGCCAACTGGGAAGCGGTTTTACCCAGGGGCTCTGGCGAAGAGCCCCTGCTTTCCAGAAATCGGGGAACCCCTTGTCTCCTGTTTCTGAGGTAAGTCCTGTCTGGTGAGACAGTTGTCCGTCTCTTCTTTCCCTGTACCTCCCAGAGTGTTCACCTGGCGGTTTCCCAGCACCCTTTGCAGCGAATCTTACCAGTTTCTCTTAAAACTCAAAGAAGCTGGAAAACAGGATGCCATTTCCAGCTTTTCCTTTAAGGATCAAGACAATCTCCTTGGGGCCGAGATGGTAACGTTTCCTTTAGATGGGCCTGGAGGCTACTGCTCTGCTCTGTTGGCCCTCTTCTCTCTCGGCCTGGTTTCTGTAGATGTTGCAATCCCGGAGCAGATTGTTGTGGTTGACAGCACCATGGTGGAGAATGAAGTCATCAAGAGGTAGGAAGCCACAGTGCCTCCAGGACATTTTCTCCAGCCAAATTTGGGTACTTGGTTTCAATTAATGTTTGTCCTCTGCTTTTCTAACTGAATTTCTCAAACCGTTAATTGTGCCCTGCCTTTCTCTTGGAAGGTAGGCTGGCTGCAATTTTCTGCAGGCTGAACCAAGCATAAGACCAGCCTTCTACTTCAATCCTGTTGACATTTCACTCCTCCCTGCCTCTTGTAGCCTAGGGAAAGATGGGCTGGAGGAGGAGGAGGAGGAGGAAGACGACGACGATGATGATGTGGAGGAAAACCCAGTGAACAAGCGGCAGATTGAGGTGAAGGCCCGACAGGCTTCACGTACTAACTACCTGCTCATGAGAGGCTACTGTGCCCCAGGGATCATCAACACCCGGAATTTGAGTCCCACAGACAACATTGTTGTTGATTCCTGTCAAGTGAAAGTGAGGCTGAGAGCAACACCTGCCCAAAATGGCCTCTTGGCTGAAGGTCAGTCTCCTGGGTAGAGGCGCTCTTGGACAAGTGGCCCCACAATAGTTTCTCCTTTGTCCTGTTTCAGAAGAAGCCATCATGTGGTGGCCTCTACTTGCCTTTGACCTAGGTCTGGTGAGTAGCTGCACTTTCTGTCAGCTGAAGGATGTCTGTTTTGCGTCTACAGTCCCATCTGACTTGGAGAGCATGCCGGTTGGAGCCTCTTGCCTCCCCAGTTCCTTCACCAAATGTCTCAGGGTCCCAGAAGAGGGTGATCCAAAACTTCAGTTGCTGGACCATTACAGTCACAGCTCTGGAGATGCTGCTGCAGCCCTTGAAATCTTCTCTGCCATAGAGGCCACTTCACACTTTGGGGTAGACCAGGTGAATATCGCCAGGCAGTTCCAGCATTATGAAGAAGCTGTTATTGGGCGCACTCGAGTCTTGCGGCAATATCTTCAGGTTGGTATGGGCAAGGGAGGAAAAAGCCCAGAGTGGGCGCTCCTTTGTGGTCTCCTAACCAAACTGCTGTCCTAGAGCACTGGACAGTTATGCTCATTCTCCCCCCCTCCCCCCATGGTTCTTAAGTTGTGTTGGCTGGGAATGGGTCCCATTGTTAGACCTTTTTTGGATACATGGTGTATTTCTCAGATGGAAGTTGATTTCTTGTATATTTTATCTGGTTGCCTTGTTTAAAATTGTGAGCCATCCAGCATTGTCTTGGGAGTCTGGCAGCATCTTAATCTAATGACATGAACAAATGCTGCAGTTAAACACATTTGGCTCAAATTGGGGAGGATGAATTTCCTGATCTTTTGTGGATCAGACGCCTTTCAATATCTGGCTGTTTTTCACCTACGATCTTTGTGGGTCATGACGCCCCTGTCCTTCCATTTAGGATCTTCTTGATTTGGAGCAGGTGTTGGAAGTAGGTGGAAAAACTACCCGGCTGGTGGCAAAGAGATTTGCAAGTCCGTGGCTGTTGCATTCTGTGGGTCTCAAGGACATCAGTGAGAACCTTTCAGGCAAAGAGCCGCATGCAAAGAGGGACCGTGCTGAGCAGGAACACGAGGAAGGAGACGCTGCCTCCTCTGCTGCAGCGGCAAGAGGAGAGCCAGCCAGGAAAAGGTCAAGAGGAGAGGGGGGGGAGGAGGAGGGGGTTCCAGAGACAAGGGCTCTTTCCTCAAGCTCCCCATGCTGGGAGGAAGCCAGGACCCCTGCGGCGCAAGGAGAAGCTGCCACGCAGAAGTGCAGTATGGGCATCCCCTCCTGTAGGAAAAAAGCCCCGGCCCTCTCTGGCAGAGAAGTCTTGGATGGGGGAAAGCCCAGCCAAGAGCCCCATGAGGATTCCTTGTCATTCCAAGAGGATAATGAAACTCCCAGCGGTAAGCCTGAAGCCCTCCTGAACTGAGACCCTCCAGAATGGAAACAAAGATTGCTCAGAGGGGTTGGAGAGCCAGCTGGCTTAAATTTGGCACGCAGGGCGGTGGGCAGGCCCTCTTCCCCCCCCCCCAAGAAAATCTCTTATCAGCACATCCCATTGGTGATCCTTGTCTCGATGCTGTTCAGCACTCCTTGAAATGGAACATAAGACACTCCCCACTCAGCTAAAACTTGTTCAGTAGCAACTTTGATGATCACACTAATTATTCAGTAGAAATAAGGTGGTGTTCCTGTGGTTCATGGTCTTTCTTGCTCTTCCCTAGGATGTGCGGCAGGGCAATCTCTTCAGGCTGAAATGAGACGGTAAGCGTGCTGATAAAGCACACGTTGTAGCAGTTGTGTTTGTTGTGCAATTGGGAAACAAGGATAACCTGAAAATAGGTGCATTAAGGCCTGGAATTCACATTAAGGCCTGGAATTCTCAACTTGCTGAGTTATCATTGGAACTGCAACAGGAGCTTCTATTTTTCGCTTAGTTTTATGCAGAGGAAGCTCTGTATGAAATAGCCTTGCCTGGATTAATTTCCAGGGTTTTATGAAAGGTGTTCTGTGCAGATATGGTAGAAGACAAAGCAGTCTCTAATTTGATACAAGATGGGAGGAGACTTGGAGGTAGGACAGGCAGGACATAAAGCAAAATGACAATGTCGCAATGCAATTACTGGGTGCATTTTCACAAACATTTCCTGATACCAGAAGAGAGGCTATTTGCAACCACAGTGAATTGGCTCATTCTCCTCAGCAGGGATAGCATCTGCTTTGTGGGGCGACCTTGGCGCATTGTGGATGGCAGTCTGAACAAGCCAGTCTGCAAAGGGATCATGGAAGGGGTGCTTGGCCACATTATGACAAAACCTGGCATCACAGAAGCGGCCCTGCAGCACCACTACCTGGGCGTCTTGCAGCCAGTGGCTCTCCTGGAGATCCTACAGGTAGGTGTGCTTGGCAAGGCAAGTCGTGTAACAGTGGCTGCTTATTCTTAGGAATGTGAAACTTCAGAGCCAGAAGGGCAAAGAGATTTGGGGTCTGGCATGAGCACCATCCAAAACCACTTTCCCAATCTGGGGCGACCCTTTCCCTGACCCCCAGAATGCCAGAAAAAGCTATTATGTTCCCCAGAAGCTGACCTCCATGTCTCGTTGCCCTTCTCCCTCTTCGTCCCTGAAGGCTCTGGAGTCTCTGGGCTGCATCAGGAAATTCCACTTTGAAAGGCTGGCCGCTGCCGCGCTTTTCTCCAAGCCTGCCTGGGAAGAAGCAATCGCCGGCGGCAAGCTGAGCGACGCTGCAGACGCTTTCTACGAGCCGGCCATCGACTGCACCCTGAAAATGGGCAGGGTCTTCCCCTACGAACTGAACTGGAACAAGTGGGGTCCGGGGGCGCCCCTGTGAGCTCCGGGGGCAAATAAAGCAACTTTATTAAAGCGACTCCCGGCTCCCTTCCTCCGCTGCGGAAGCATCGCGCGGGCGCCTTCCCCGGGCCGCTCAGTCCCGCCAGCGGTGGCCGCACCGGGCGCTGCAGCACTTGTAGAAGGTGGTCATGGGCTCGTCGGCCGAGCGCGTCTGCAGCTGCATGAAGTAGGCGCGCGGGTGGCCGCACTTGGGGCAGGGCTCTGCGGGGGGGGGGAGAGAGGGAGGAGTCAGCGGAGGGAGAGAGGGAGAGCCGCCCCCGCTCCGCTCCCGCCGCCGACGTACCTGCGGTCGAGTCCACGTTCTCCCAGGCGGCGGCCCCGCCCAGCACGTCGTCCACTTCCTTCAGCTTCGGGTAGCGCCGGCTCGTCACCTAGCAACGCGGGGAGAGGGTGAGCGGAGGGGGGGGGCTTGCGCGCGAGAGATTCCCCGGCCGCCCGGACACAGACCTTGCGCGTGACGTTCCGCACGTAGGGGCAGGTGGTGCAAGCGAAGCGGTGGCAGCGGGCGCCCTCCTCGGCTACCAGCACGTTCCCGCAGGCCGGGCAGAAGAGCAGCATCTCGGCGTGCCTCGGACGTCCGCCTGCCCGATAGAAGCTACTTCCGGTTCCGGCCGCGCGGGGATCCGGCCACGACGACGATGGAGGAGGAGGAGGAGGAGGAGGAGGCGCACGCGGAGGCAGTGGCCCGCTGGCAGGCCGGCCTGGCGCGACTCGTCAGGGACCCGCTCCTCTGCGACCTCCCGGCGCAGGTCAGTGGCCGCGGGAGCGGGCGGGGGCCGCCGTAGCTGGTGGGTCACGCGGCGCATGCGCGCTTTGCCCTGCAGGTGACCCCCGAGGAGATCGGCTCGCAGGTGGCGCTCGAGTACGGCCAGGCGATGACGGTGCGCGTGCGCAGAGTCGACGCACCCGAGGCACCCATGCGTAAGTCGCGGACGGGGCGAGTGGGAAAGGGCGGCGCGCCCTCTTGCGGCCGCCGCGGGAACGATCAGCTGCGCCTCTCCCCGCAGCCGTGGTGGTGGTGCAGAGCGCGAGCGTGCTGGAGCTCAAGAAGGCGCTGCGGCGGTTCGTGCAGCTGCGGCAGGAGCGCCAGGGCGGCGCGCGGCACATCAGCTGGTGAGTGCGCGGGGGGTGGCCGGGGGGGCTGGCCGAGGAGGCCCGCTTATCGCCGCCCCGCTGCCCCGCAGGAGGCACGTCTGGCGGACCTACAGCCTGACCTTCGGCGGAGAGAAGCTGGCGGACGACCGCAAGAAGCTGCGGGAGTAAGTGACGTCGTGGGATGGGAGCCTCTCCGGGGAAGCGCCGGTGGGCTTTGCGCGACCAGCGGCGCTCTTCTCGCCTTATGGGGAGGGGCCGGAGGACCCACCGACTCTAGGTAACCCCTCGCCTGCCTCTGCCGCTTCTAGGTACGGGATTCGCAACCGGGATGAAGTCAGTTTCGTGAAAAGGCTCCGGCAATGAACTCCCAGGCAAGTTCGGGCTCTCGACCCTTCCTTTAGCCGCTGCTGGCCTCGCCTGGCAGTTAATGGTAGTAACTGTCTTAGCCCCAGAGCCTTGGCAGCTGGATCTGGTGAAGCGGTTTCCCACCTCCAACTTTTCAAAGTTAACATTGCCTGATTTTGAGAGGGTCTTTGGGATCCCCTAGTAAGTTTTCCCTTTATTAACAGGCAACCATCCTGGTGCTCTTTGGGAATTTGTCTGAGCCCCTTCTGAGTGAACCTCTTAAAAAGGCTCTGTAGGAGGGAACAGGGAAGAAGCCGCTTCAGATCTGCTTTGTTTCAGAGTAACCCCCAGAATTGGTGTTCAGTTCTGCACATATGGAACAGCTGCCTGTGCGGTGACTGGGAATCCATATTTTAAAAAGTGCTGGATCTTTTTCTGAAGATATCAGTGAATCTGAAGCCAGTAACAGCCAGCCAGTAACATTAAAAAATTTTAAATTATAATAAAGTATGCTGAAAGTTTTTTCTGTAATTAAATTACCATCCATCCAGTTACACAGAGAAAGAGAGAGAGAGACAGAGGTTACTTCTGCACTCAGTTGTGTAGTATATAGCATCAGTCGAATGTGAATCTACAACTGATATGGGCAATTGTCATTTTTCTTAGTACTTGATTTCATGACATCAGGTTATTGTCAATTCTTAGTGACCATATAGATTTTCTTCATGATGACCTGTCATCTTCATTAGTTGCTGCTCCCTCTGCACACAGCTACACATTCCAACAAAATATAAGCAATTATATTCTTTACAGGAAAGAAGCTGTGCTTGACACTTGCCTATAAAGTTGCCAAGAAAACATTTTTTTTACAAAGCTGTTGAATCAAATACAGGCAGCTGTTCATTTTAAATGTTAGAATTCATCCAAGTGCAGTATTTGTATGTTAGAAATTAGGTCAACACTGAATTAAGAATTGCTCTTTGCTTTGATAGGTATTTGTCAGTAACCTCAATTTTGGCACACTCCAAAACTTAATGGAAATGTAGCTAAAACGCTACCTTCATTTTTAATCACCACCAGGGTAACAACAAATCTCATGAAAAGGGTCACTGTGAAACTAGCATAATAAAAATGTGGCAACAAAAAAGGTTCAGTAAAATTGAACAAGGCACCAACTTTCTGTGTGCTGAAAAAGTTCCAGTCTCCAAGATAAGGCAGCACAGGGATGAACGGAATTTTAAGTTGGCTGGCAGTCTGGCAAGTAGCACCAGGCCAGCTTTGCCCAAGGCAGCCAATGACGGTGCCCCTGCACGCTCAGTGGAGCTGGGCATCCAGGCCATATTTCTCGCAGAAATTGTCAGTGAAGGGAAGGCAGGTGAGGACCTCACACCACTGGCAGCGAATGGGGTAGAAGTAAAACAGCACCACCAGTCCGGAGAGGAGCCCCACGAAGACCAACTGGAAGATAATGATCTGACACCGCTTTCGGTACAGGTCCAATTTGCCAAAGCTGATGTATGGGAGGAAGGCGAAGGACAGGAAGAGGCCACTGATAAAGCCACAGATGTGAGCAAAGTTATCTATCCAGGGAAGGAGGCCGAAGGCAAACAGGAACAGCACGATCACCAGTAGTTTGAAGAAGGCCCTCCAGGGTCGAGCCAGGATCTGCCAACTCTGGAAAAGCTCCACAAAGAGGCAGGCCAAGATGCCAAACTGGGAGCCTGCTGGGCCAACCTGCATAGGGGGTCACCATTAGACAGCTGCAGTGCAGGGAAGGCCCTACTCAAACCTGGTCAAGGTCCTGGCTTGTGCTGCCAGCTGCTGCCAAAAGCAACCCCAGGGGCTGCCTGGGGGGGGGGAGCATCTCATCTCCAACAGTTTGTAAGATAAGACACACACACACACCCCAGAGGGAGGTAAGAAACGGCCAGGAGTGCCAAGACTGGGTTCTGTTCCCAGCCCTGTCTGCTTTCATCCAGCCTCTCCTGGAGGATGCTCTGCAAGCGAACTGCCCCGTGGCCCAGCCCCACACTGGGACACACTTTGCCTGGGAAGGAGGCACCTGTAGCCACACCCTTCACGAGCTGCCAGTGAGACGCACCTCAGCCCGGTAGGGGAGGAAAACAGCGCTGGCCAGGTTCCCTGTGATGCCGCTAAATAAGTAGATCAGGGAAATGCGGTGCCAGCCAGCCAGCTTCTCCAAGTCACGCAAGATGGTCATCTGGAAGCATACAGACACAAGGCAGTGCAGGATCCTATCAGGCAGGAAAAAACTGTGGTGACCAAGTGGGCCAAGGACTTGGGTTCCAAGGGAAAGGAGTTTCTGGCCCTGGGCCGGGTTTACCCTGCATGAAGGAACAGCGACAGCCACAGGCGGTAGACCTGATCTGGCACCTCGGGGTTGAGGAAGGGGAGGAGGCCACAGATGTCATCCATGCAGTGCACCTGGCAAGACAGAGTAACAGCCAGGTCAGAGAAGGCCGCCTGCTGGAGCCAGCCAAGAGAGAGAGATGGAGATACCTGGGAGCAAAGTGTGGCCTCTTCATGGAAGTAACCATGCATGAAGGTGCAGTATTCCCGTGAGGTGATCTCACACCTGGGAGGAAAGAACCAGATGCCCAGAAGTTAAGCCTTGCTGAAGTGGGTAGGATGCCGGCTGAGGCAGCAGCAGCAAGCAAAATGCACTGAACAGAGTAAGCCAAAAGCTGGCGCAGCTGAGCCTCCAGTCGCGGGAGGACGTGGTCCAGGGAAGGAGCAGAGCAGCCCCCTCCATGTCCCAGCAGAATGGGCTGGCTGCCCCGTCAGCCCTTTCGGGGGCCACCCACCCTACCTTCCCTTGATGCCAATACAGCAGGGCCGCCCGGTGATCACACAGTCCATGTGCAAGTGGTTGGTGTGGTTCCCAGCACTGTTGTTGGTACAGATCTGGAAGAAGATGGGCAGGCCTTGCTCCTGGTCCTCAAAAGAAGTCCCCCCGGAGGCTCCTCCTCGACCCCCCACCCCCTCTCCACACGCAGGCAGACATGTGGGAGCAGAGCCAGACATTGGCTGGGCAGAGCCAATCATTGCTCCCTGATCCTCCAGAAACCTACAGGCCATTTGGTGATGTCATCAGGCCACTCATGAGGGTCCATGGATGCTGGCTGCTCACACACCCTGTGGAGGGAGGGGTCCTGGGCAACTTTATGTGCGGGACACAACAGCAGCCCCTCTGCCCCGGCAAGAGCCGGAGCCCCACACATGTGGTCCTGCTCCCCAACCTACCTGGGGTCTTGGTGACACACAGAGCCAAACTTCCTCCTGCCCCCTGCCAGCAAAGGAGTGCTCGGGTGACTTGGCCACTTCACCCACACGGCCAAAGTGGACTGTAAAGCAGAGGGTCAGAAGTGGGCGGGAGCAGGGTCCCCAAGGGGTGCCCTCTCCCCCCAAAAGCAGAGGACAGGCCAGTTGGAAGGATGGGAGGAGGAAGAGATAGTGAGCCGGGCTTACGGAACACTCCTCCTCAGCCGTCTGCACACATCCTGACTTGTCGTTGCGCACACAGCAGGCGGAGTGCTTCTCTTTCTCACGGGCTGCGTGGATGAAACTGTGCACCTGCTGGTCCTGTCGCATGCAAGGGGCGAACTTTGCTCCCAGATGGATGAGAGCTTCCTGAAAGGGCAGCAGAGTCTCAGCCGAAGCCCACAGAAAAACCGAGTCCCAGACGAGGCTCTGGCCAGGACAAAACTGAGCCATGGAGGGAGGAGGCAGATGGGGACTGACACTCACCGAGCTGGGCCCTATCCAGAAATTCTCTTGCTGGACGTATTTCACGTTCTCATATATCCCCCGATTTCTCAGGACCTACCAGTAAAAAGGCCCATTGAAGAGAGGAGGAGATGGGCAGAATGCCCACCTCCGGCCCCTCCAGTAGAAGAAAAGGAAGGTCTCCTCAAAAGTAGAGGAGGTGCAGGTTCACCACAGGAGAAGGGAGGCCACGGAGACCTCAGTCCTGCTGCTCACCGAGTCCACTGTCTCGTGCTGCGAAAACCCCACAGGAGCAATCCCGTAGATGGAGACGGCCAGGATGGTGATGAGTGAATGCACGAAGGTGACCCAGTAGGTGAAGAACGGCCTGTGCGGAGCAGAAGATGATGGGGCAGTCAGGCCACAATCGGTTGCTCACCCTCCCAGGCACCCAGGCCTCCACCCACCGGTGGTCATCCATGTCCTCAATCTGCTGCTTCACAAAGCTATCGATGCGCTTGCGGTACGTCCGGTTGGTCAGCCGGCCCACCATGCCTAAGCCGTAGGGACGCTTCTCTTTGGAAAAGAGTTTGCGGACAGGAACGGTGATGCGCTGGCCACGCCGCTGGAGGCCTAAGCTGACCACCTCTTGCCGCAGACGGACCTTTGGTTGCACTGAAGCCCCCTCTTTCTGTTTCCGCCAGCCACGCTCCAGGGGGCTAGAAGACGGGGGGGCAAGAACAAGCTCATTCCTCAGAAAGTACTGGAATCTTGGACAATCGTCCCCATACAGAGCGCTTAATTACAGCATGTACATCACCTTTCACCTGGTATCTGAAAGCACGGTTTCTGGGTTATGCCAGACCCTGAATCACAAATGGAACGGATGCAGCCAGGTCAGCCCCGGAAGGGTTGGGAGCCTGGAAAACCCACCTTGCCTTCTTTCAGACTCCCCCTTCTCCTCTGGGAGCCTCTTTCCCGACTGCAGGTCACCCTTCCAAAGGTCTGCAACTTCTGGCCATCAGAGGAATCTCGCCCCGGGGCAATTGCAGGGTGGGAGTCTAGCAGCCACCCCCTCTCCTTCCCCCAGAGGACTCTGGCTTGTCTTTGTTGGCCTCTTTGTGCGTCCCCTACAAGACTCACAAGAGCAGGTGGCTTCTCTCTAGCTCGTTCCGGTCCAGAGCCCCCCCTGTGAGGGCTGGCTGAACCTGCAGCATCTTCGCCTCAGGGACCCTGAGGGCTGCTTCAGAGGGGGTCTCAAAAACCTCATCAGGATATATGGACGGCTCTTCTGGCAGGAGCCCTTCCTGGGCAAGGGAGGGAAGATCCAGCGGTGAGGGGCTGCTGGGGCCACCAGCAGTTCCACCTCCCCCCCTCCCCCGTGGCTCAACTCCTACCCTGGCAAAGAAGGAGGTGTCCAGCTCATCTGGGAACTCCACGGTGAAGTCTTCCTCCAGGAAGCTGGCCGGAGTGAAGCTGCGCTGTCGCGTCCTGCGCAGGGTGCCATCTCTCACAGAACGGCCCTGGCACAGAGAGGTGTGCAAGAGACGGGACACATGCCATCGCTAAGCAGCCAGCCCGCCACAATTCAAGTAGGACACGCTGACCATTCTCCATCAGCACCACACTCCATCCCTCTCCCAACCCCTCACCTTCACTAGCGCTGCTGCTGCTCTGAAGCTCATCTTAGCCACTGACTCCCTCTTCCGCCGCCGAGGCCAGCGACCGAAGCCAGAGCGTGAGCTGGTGAAGGAGCACAGTGAGGCTGCTCCAGGCGTGGCTGGGGTGGGGGGCACGCTGCAGCCATCGCAATCCTCGGCCACTCGGAAGGCCCGTCCACGGGCCAGGGGGTCGATTATCTGACAGCAGAGAGACGGAAACGGCCCTGAGGGCATCAGCCACGGCAGCCCCTCCACCAGCTGGGCTTCAGCAGGTATTACAGGTTCCCAGGAGGAGCTTTGGGGGGGCACCAGGTGAAGAAGAGCGGGGAACAGGTGTCTTATCCCAGAACTGCTTCCCACAGCGTCTGCATTTCCTTTGGACCTGCCACCACCCTTCCTTCCTCCTCCATGATTGTGATGCCAGGAAAGTCAGCCCAGAGGTTGCTCACTCCATCCCACCAAAGCCATGTGACCCCAGCTACCTACTCTCTGCATGCCAGGCGGGCAAGGGGGCAGATAGAGTGGCGGGGGGGTCTCCGTGCTGGCCAGAGATATGTTGTCCTGGCTCGGAAGGTCCATTTCGCGGAGGGCCTGTGGCTTCAGCTTTCCGTAGCGCAGGCTGCAGTGGCGCAAGCTCTTCCGTTGCCACTTCTGAGGGGCATCGCTCCCCTTGCTGACCCCAAACCAGTCTGCTGTGCTCCTGATGAGAGAGTAGAGGGCCAAGAAGCTTCGCTGAAGCCACAAAGCCTCCCCTTCCAGCCACTTCATCCTCCAAATGCTCTGAGCCCAGAGTGAGTGATCAAAACGGAGGGGGGGAGAGTAGGGAGTGGTGGCCAGTGGGAGTGGGCTACAGAGTTTCTAGAGTTTTCAGTAGTGCCTGCAGGACAACAGTGTCCCAAGAGATTGGCCAGCAGTTTTCTCGGCCCTGTGTTGGATGCAGCCACTCATGGGCCAGGAACAGGATCGCAGCACAGGAGGGGGCTCTTGGGTAGAGGAGGTCCGGGCCAGCCTTTCAGGATAGCCCTGAAGCAGAACCCGTCACCCTCACTGGATACGGCAAACACTGCAACAGCTACACTGGGGAGGCAACGCGGCGGGTGGAGCTACTGTTCAGCAGCACAACTGGACTAGGAGGCAATTGGGGTGGGGGGCAGGAACTGTATTTTCCTGCACCTTCCCTGCTTCCTGGGCAAGGTGCCTGTGGGGAATCTTCCCAGGGCTGCAGGTCAGAATGGGGGAGGGGGAGGTCACAGGCTGCTTGCTGGCAACTGGAGCAGCTCTGTTGCCAGGACCCACATGCAGCTCACACGCATGCAGCCACTGGTACCTGAACAGTGTTCTGGGCAGTGAGTGGCGCTTTCTCAGGGGCTTCCTGCCCACCTGGTGCCCCCGAATGGGCAGGGTCTGAGTCTTCTCAAAGTGTACCTGTCTGCTGCAAAGGAGAGAGACCTAAGGGGGGGGGGAAGGAAGGGGCTCCAGTGCCTCTTGGCTGGGCTAAAACAACTGGCTCTTCCAGCTGGTGACAAGACGTGGGGTGCAGACAATCCCTGGCACACGAGGAGGAGCAGGAAGCCATGTCTCCCAGCTCAGGTCACCCACAGACACAGGGGCAACTGGAGGGCTGGGGCCTCGGAGCTGCCTGGTAGATGAGGTGCTCCTTTCCAGCCTTTCATCTTCTGGATTGCACGCTCCCTTGATGCTCGGGCACCCTCTCTCTGGATGCCCGCTTCCTTGCCTTCTGCCCACTTTTGCTTTCCTGGGCTTGGACAGAGGTACCAGAGAGTGAAGATGCCACATTCTTTTCACAAGAGCAGGAAGACCGTGTAGCCCTTCTTGGGCACGACCCTCCGGCTCCTGCCCCCCCTTCAGCTGAACTTTTCAGTTGAGGAAAAAAGCCGCGGGGGCCCTTTCCCTCTCGAGGGTTCGTTTATTGCCAGGAAATGCAGTGGTAGAGAACAGCTGCCACCCAGTGGGGCAGGGAACACATATGGCAATCCAGCTGCCAGACGTGCCTTGGCAGGGACCCAGTCCAGATGTCTAGAACTGTGCCAAGGCACGGGCTCTGGGGCTTACCTCCGGATGGTCTGGGTGATGGACGTCTGTCGCTGCAGGACAGGCCGCCGTGCCTCGCTGTAGGCAGCAGGAAAGAGGCTGTTCTCCGCAGGCATGCTGACACTTCGGAAGAAGGCCTGGCGCCTCAAGGGCTGCAAAGGAACGGTGCCTGGGCATCAGAGCACTGGCAGCCAAATGCAGAGGGCGACCGCTGAGGTGCCCCCCCCCCCAGCCGACTTCCATACAGCCCCTCTAAGGAATTCCCCAATCTTGCAGAAGATCCGCCCAGCCTTTGGGGAGGTAGGAGCAGCTGGAGAGCCAGGCATGGTGGAAGGCAGAGCAGCGCTCACTCCTGACTGGCCAGCCAAGTACCTGGAGTGAGGCTGGTTCCTCTGCTGCAGCCAAGAGCGGGGCCACTGGAATGTCCAGTTTCAGCCAAGGAGGCTTCTTCCTCTGCAAGCTGCTGGAGCTGTCCGGGAGGCCCTCAGCCATCTTCCCTCTTCAGAAGCCCAGCCTAGAGGGGGCAGAGTTTATGGGCAAGCAAAGCAAAGGCCAAGGCAAGTTTGCTTGTGGCCACAAGCACAGACTCTCTTCCCCCTCGACTGGAAGGCCTGGCCTGGGACCCATCCTGCCACCCTCCAGCCACCTGGGCATGGGGCCACTTGGCCTCTTGAGACCCAGGGGCCACTGGGAACAAGCCTACATTCAGCAGCTGAGGCTCCACTTGGCTTGAAGCTAAGCTGGGTTTGCATAGCTAGCAAAATGATCCCACACCTGCACACACCTGACCATGAGAAACAGCCCTTCCAAGCCCCTGGCAAACACCTGGTGGCCAGAGGGCCTCCCAAGTCCTCTGGGTTGAGGAATCAGCTTCATTAACCAGAACAGGCAGAAAGCACAACCAATTAAGCTGATTCTACTTTATTTGCAAAGCTACACTAACAGAATTTTGCAAGTCTGAAAGTACAATTCTCCCGCCATCTCCCTCGCAGCCTGAGAAACCAGGCAGGGTCCCTCCTGAGCCTCTCGCCCTGCCCGCTTTCCAGCTGTGGGCTCTGCTGCCTCTTCTCGGACCACTTGCTAGGCAGCCTCTCCTCGCCCCGTCTCCCACAAAGACATTTTGGGACTTACAGAGGCAAGGCTGAAGAAGCCTGTCTGGACAGAGAAGTCCAGGAGCAAAGGGGACATGCTGCCCACAGCCACCCATCATCACAGCTGCCTTTGGCCATTTCCATCCTCTTCCGGGCCAGGAGTTTCCCACCAAAAGGAGGAAGCAACCCAAGCAGCCTGTCTGTTCTAGGGAATGAAAGGAAGCCGGGCTGGTCAGAGGAAGAGACCGCCTCCCTTCCCAGAGGAATCCTGCCCAGCAAGCAGGGCAAGGCTGGGTCAGGAGATTTTTCTGGCACATACAACCAGCCAGCTACCTTCCACTGGTCTACTCCACACCCCTCCATGCCCAGAGCCCTGGGTCAGAGACAGCTGGGCGTTCTCACCTCCAGGCTTCCAAACATCAGGCTGACCTCTATTCCAAGCTATGCCCGCTGCATCTGAGGCGATCCCCCCCGCCTTCCTCAGCTCCCCTCCTTTCCAGATGATGATAATAACAACAACAATAGAGCTGGATAGGACCTTGGAGGTCTTCTAGTCCAACCCTGCTCAGACAGGAAACCCCACACCATTTCAGACAAAAGTGCTTGACCCACAGCAACATTTCCAACCAGGCAGGGCATGACCAAAGGCAGAAAAAAAGCCACAAATGGAAACCACAAAGCCAGACTCCATTTTGATTTGCTGCAGATCTTCTTAGGTTACCTCTCCCATGTTCCACACACCCACTGATGGGAGGGGGCCTCCTCCCGCTCTTATTGCTCCCTAGCCTCCCTGCCTGTCCTATATTTCCCCCCACCCTGATGATGGAAAAGTTGAGAAAGCTTCTTCTTCCTGGCTGCCCTTCTCTGCTGGGAGTGGGTGGGAACCATTGGCCTAGAACTAGCCTCTGCAAATATGCACCAAGCCAAGAGGGAACATGGTAGGAAGCAAAGACAGCAATGAGATGGGTCTGAATTTGCACTCAAGTCCCTCTGATGGGCTGGGGATTGATGCAGCTGCCTGCCCTCAGTGGGGCTCCAGGCTGGGGGGGTGCCGCCCTCTTCCTTTCAGGCAGGAGCAGCAGCCCTGGGATGAGACAGTCCTCAGAACTGGGAAGTTCCCACTTTGGCCAGAACCAGAAAATCCAGTTGAGGCTTTAGATTCTTCCCACAGCTTCATATTTTTTCAGGAGAGCCTGCAGGAGCCAGCAGCCTGGCTGCATCTGAGCCACAGCAGTGCATTTGTTTCAGCTCTGCGGGAGAAGTGCCAAAAAGTGCTCCCCTCCTCCTCCTCCTTGGTGTTTCTGTCTACAAAAACAAAACGATGGAGACCTTGTCATCCATGCAGACCCCTCCCACATAGAAGGCCCATTCACACACACACACCCTGGACCTGCAGCTTTCCCCTTGCAAGAACAGGCTGTTCTCTGTGTTTTATTTAGAAATACACATTTCTAAAGTGCTGCATGGGAATGCACAAGAGGGTGACACCAGCTGTCTCTAGCCATGGGTGCACCCACCCATCACACAAGCACAGACTTTCTGGAGAGGGGGGCTCCTGTGGCACTCTTGCAAAAGGGTTTCTGGGCACTTTCCCCTATCAGAAAAAATGCCATGGGGGAAGGATCAGTTACAAAGCTCCAATTTAAGCCTGATTTCATTTCAATTAAAAATAAATCTTTTCTGTTAAAAAGTCAAAGGGGGCAGAAGGTGAGGGGCACTGACAGACGCTAGGTGATTCCTTGCAGGAAGAAGGGACTCGCAGTATGAGGGGCACAATGGCCCCAGTCGGCTCCATATTCTTATTACATAGTTCTGGTCCAGAAGCTCTAGGGCTTCCTCCTCCCACCGCCTCCCCTCCCACCGTCTGCGCTCCTCTGCTGGAGGACAAAAACAGGAAGGGCAGAATTCCAGTTGTTGGCCCAGCCATCTCACTAGAGAGGCCTATTGATTGAATCCTCCTCCATGGTGCCAGAAGACCCTGCAGGATGCCCAGACCCCTGCCCTGTGCCTGCTGGAGTCAGGACTCCGAAGCAAGCCAAGTACAGCCCTCCCCAATCAGACACCCCCTCCTCTCCTCATGTTGAGGCAGAATCTGCCTTTCTGTTGCTCCCCTCCATTCCTCAGTGCTCTGGCAGGCCTGACCACCTATGCAATGCCCCATCCTTTCTCTTTCTGCAGGTTTCCCCCCCCCCTCTCTTCAGGGGACTTGCTGTCTAGCCTCATGCCTTCATACCAACTAAAGTAGAAAATCCTCCTGCAATTGGGAAACTACGCCTCCGCCTGGTTCTCTCCTAGGGCCTGTGGCTAGTTGCAGCCTCAGCATCCTTCCACCCTTGCTATTGCCCTCTGGCCCCTAGGCTGTCACAATGCCCAGTCAGTCTCTGGAGGGGAATCCGCCAGCAGACAGAGTCTGCCTCCACTTCTTCTCTCCCCACCCTCCAGTGCGAGCTTTCAGAACTCTCCCCTCCACCCCGCAGCTTGCCTGTCATAGCAATGCCATTCTCCCTTGTAGGCTTAGCCTTGGGAACTCCACAGGCTATACTTAGGAAAGAAAGGGGGGAAAGCTTTCAAGGAAAAGGATCAGCCCAGCCACATCAGAGCAAAACCTCCCTTTCGTGGTCCCAGCCCCAACTGGATGCCACAATAGGAAATTCAAGAGATGGGGGGGGGGCGGTTTAGCTTCTCCAGCAACCGGCTGTGCTGCTGTGGGCAGTAGCGCTAAGAGGAAAAGGTCCAATTTGTTCATCTCACCCAGCCGGGCGTGATTGGCTTCCTACAGACTTCTCTGAAAGAATTCAATGTATAGTTGGCTGTGGGGGCTCTGGATGGGGCAGGTCAGGGTGTTCCTGGAGCAGAATTTTCTTCCTTCCCTGCCTGGGTGTGGGGTTCCCATGACCAGTACAGAGAGCTCTGTGCTATTTTCCTGCCTTTGCCTTGGGGGAGAAGCATGGTTTTAAGCCCCATCAAGGCAGATCCCCTCTGTCACCTGGAAACTAAGTAGGAAACTCAGGACCCAGGCAGGGACGGATGAAAATTAGGGGGAAAAACCCTCAGCCACAAGCATTAGCTCTCGGCCTTCGGGTTGGAAGCGTTGAGCCTCCACAGTCCCCTAACAGCCGCCGCCGAGGGAGGCTGTCGCTCTGCAGCTGCTGGGAAAGCCCCCACAGCAAGACCGATAAATGAGGGTTCAGAATCGGGCCGGGAGGAGGCCGCAGCTGGAGCGCCGCTGCACTTTCCAGCCTAGCCGGAACGGCTCCCAATCGGCCTACGGAGCTCGAGCGGCGAGAACCAACCAGGCGAAGGGCGGCGGCGGCGCGCTCTCTCCTTCTGCCCGCCTGTACGGTCGAGCCGAGCCGAGCCCCCAAGTGCCGCCCGTCCTCCGCGCGGCTCGGAGGGGGAAACGGGCCGCAGATACTCCCCGCTAGACGCGGCCAGGACAAGAACCAGCCAGCCGACGGGCTCCCCAGCAGGCGGCCGGGCTTCCTGCCACCGCCGGAGCGCACGCCAGCAGCCGCCGCGTCCTTGGAGGCCGTCCGGGGCGGGAAGCCCGCTGCCCAGGCCGCGCCACCCGCCGCAAACGGGGCAAGGCGGCCGCGGGGCCCGGCGCTGCCCTCCTGCCCCGCCCGAACTCACCGCGGAGCCGGGGCTGCCCACCGCTCCAGCCGGGGCCGTCCAGGGAGCGCTGGCCGGACGGCCATTCAGCGAGGAGGGCCGGCCTCGGCGCAGCCGGCCTGCAGACCAAAGGGCGGCCCGGCGCAGAAGGCGGGCCGGGCCAGGCCGGGCCGGGCGTGACTCAGGCCTCAGGAATGCGCCGGGCGGAGAAGCGGCTCCCTCCGCCCGCCAGCCTCGCCTCCGACCGGCGCCACTGCGGGTGGAAAAGCGCCGAGCTGGAGTTTGGCCGGCCGGGCGGCGAGATGGGCCGGAGCTGCCGGCGGAGCGACCTTCTCCTCGCCCTCCCTGCCTCGGACGCGGCCGCGGGTCGCTACCTGCTACCCTGGGCCTAAGCCGGACCGCCCGCTCGGCGACTCTGCTCAGGAGGCCGCGAAATGCTTTTCGGGGCTTCTCTCGCCTGGACGGCTGCTGGAGGGGGGGGGTCGCGCCTGCTGATCCTTTGGGCCGGAGAAGGAAGCGGAAAAGCCGCCCGGCCCTCTTCCCACTCAGGCGGCGGCCCCGTCCTGCCCTGGAAGAGCTCTTGACAAGAGGCAGCTGGCAGCCAGGCGCTGCGGGGCTCCTGGGGGGCTTTGGCTGGGGGCTGCTGACAGAAAGCCGTGAATCCCCCTTTGTAACCAGTGCTGGCACCGCAGAGAAGGCTGAGCAGCCCAACAACGTGCCCATTGTAGCCATGCTGCCCCTTAAGAGTGTGGGTGGGTGTGCCCCTCCCCATGGGGTGTCCATCCAGGCGGGGAAGGGCAGCATCAGCCTTTCCACCCCTGCTCCTCCCTCTGCAGAGGCTAAATGCTTGGCTTTGGTGGCACTTCATGGCCACCAAGAAGGCAGGACCGCTCTGCTCCGGCCCAGGGCTAGCTGAGTCCTCAAGGCCTCAGAAGCTGCCAGCTTGTCAAGTGAACTCAAGAGGGGCAGAAAGCTGGGTCTGTTTTTGTAAGATGGCAGTGAGGTCCAAAGCAAGAGAGGAGAGCTGGGGGAAAAGGGCTCACACCTGCACGCACACACACACACCCCTTCCCTTTGGGGGAAGCAGCAAAATGCAATGTTCCAAGAGGGCCAAAGAAACTATGAACCACCAGGTAAGGGAAAAAAAATTAGCTTGATGTAGTTGATAACAACACCATTTCCTACACTGCCCCATACCTTTCTCAGGAAAGCCTGAATAATTTACTGAGAAATGAGTAACAATGCCTCACAAAGGCATCAAAGGTCGACCTAGGGCACTCCTAAGAAAAAGAGTTTCCTGCAGTTTGGCATCCTGCAAAATCTGGAATTGAAAAGCCAAGCGACCCCTTGCTTTCCTCTGGCTGGATCCTCTGCTGTTCCGTTTCTTCTGCCTCAGCCTCCCACTTGCACCAGCTACAGGTGGCAATTGCAGTCAGGTCATGTCTGATATGTTTTCATTTTAAAGCTTTGTGACAGTCCATCCTGTCTTTTGCATTCTTAAGGTTTGCCACTACTTCCAATTATTGGTTGATATTTGATAAATTCATTTGATAAATTCATTCAAGCAGCTCCAGCTTCAGTTTGGCTGTAAACTGTAAATACCTGAATATCTCCCAATAGTTCCAGAATGCTTCTAGAGACAAAGGAAGCAGCAGGTGGCCAGCCAAACTATCCCGGGTACATCCCCTTCTCCCCCCTCCCCACTTTGAGAACAGTGGGGCTGATGGGACCAGTGCCTGCTGGGAATTCCTTGGCTGCCAGCAAGGCTAGCCATGAGCCATGGGTTGACATCCTGTACTATTTCCTGCAGCAGGAGATATGGAACCCGACGGGCTCCCTGGCAGAAGCCGGCGGGTCATTTTTAGACATGACTATCAACACCAAACAGTTTCTTGCACCAATGGCAGAGGTTGAGCCTCATGGAGCATGTCTGACCCACGCTGCTACAGATATGGGCCCCTCTCTGTGCAGCAAGCCCAGGCTGTTGGGCCACAGCTTCCTCTGCAGCCGCTGCTGGCTAAGAGCAAATACCCTTAATACTGAGCAGGCGCAGTACTTGGGTCTGCAAAGGGAAATATTCTTGCAAGTGTCCCGTTGTCTTAAATGCTGCAATTCAATTCATTTGATGCACAAATCGCAACCACTGTGCTACTTTCTGGATGAAGAAACCGGAAGGCATCAAGCTGAGGCTGTTTGCCCAAGGATGACAAGAAAGCACAGGGACAGAACACAGTTCTTGGGCCTTGGAGTAGCTTGACCTGGGTAGGAAGAGTTCCCCACTCCCAGATGTTCAAATATGGGTAGGATCTAATGGGAGTTATATTTAGCCTCCTTCTTCCATGTCTTCCAATTTAACTGTCAGCCTCGGCAACAGCTGCTACTCTTCACTGCTTTGAAAGCAGGCAGGCTGTCAGGCGCTGCTGCTTTTCCAAGTTTGCTTCAGCTATTTCTGAGACTGGGTGGTTGGGCTCCCTTCTTTCTTTACAGCAGTCCTGGAAGAAAAAAAAACCAGGTTTTGTACCTGATTGTGCCCTCCAGCCACTCAATTTTCACAGCTGCCCTTTGTAAATGAACAGGCTGCCTGGATGGCATGCCTGCTCCTAGCAAGGCTGTCCTAAGCTCAAATCCAGAGCGGCTACTGCACTGGCAGGGAGACGGAAGGGGTGCTTGCTCCCCAGTTGATTAATTCTTGGGGTGGGCTTGCGCTGGCAGCTGCTGGATCAATTTTGCCTTGGCTGGGGGGTTATTTGGTAGACCATGCTGTGGCTCTGGGTGGGAAGTAGGAAGATTCTGTTCTGAGGACAGACAACACACATATGCCCAGAGAACCACCTCATCCAGCTGCTGGAAGAAAGCTGCTTGCCAAAGACGGAGAAAAGGATCCACCAGCTCTCCAGACTGAACCAGAGTCTTCCTCACTGCAGTGTCCATCATTCTCTGAGCTCACACAGCCCACTTAACCAGGGCATGGCAGCTGCAGCTGCATTCACCGGGCAGATGAGGCTCAGGTGGGTTGTGGAAACCCGGCCTTGGTTTTGTATGTGTTAGTTCAGAAGACAGGGTGTTTCTAGCCAACTACCAGAATGGCTGCTCCTGATGGAAGTGGGCCAAGAGCCTCTCCGGTTGTCAGCCCTTTAGAGAAGGCTCTTGTCGGGTGAACGCAGCCTCGCAGGCACCGGATCCAAAGGGCCTTCGTGACCAAGAGGCCAAGAAACTCCACGAAAGTTCCTCCCGTCCGTTCTTTCCAAAATGTTTCCGGACGCATCGGAAGTGGCGGAACGGGGCGTCCCTGGCTCCCACACGCCCGGGTGAGTCCTCCTGGCGTTTCCCGGGTTCAACCGGCCTCGCACAGCGCTCAGCCGGGCCCCGGGTCGAACTTCAGTTGCCGCAAGGGTCTCCCTGGCAAGGCGTAAAGCCCCCGTCCGGCGTCCGCAAGAACCCGGAGCCGGAACTGCTGCCAGGCGAAACCCGAGCCGAGAGCCGCTCGCTCGGCTAAGGAGGGAGGAGGAGCTCCACCTCGCCGCCTCGCTCGGCTTCCCACTTGCGCAGGCCGGACGCCTCGCGACGCCTCCCAGTCGGCAGCCATGCCCAACACTCCGAGGCCCCTTCCTGCCGAGGGGGCGCGGGAACCCGGCAGCGGCCCGCCGGCCCGCCTGGGCGCCGCCTATTTCGACCAGCCCTGCGTCCGCCTGGCCAAAGCCCTGCTCGGGCAGGTGAGCCCGTCGGCGCGGGGGTGGAGGGAGGTCGGGGCAGCTGCAAGGGCGCCCCTAACCCTCCCACCCTTCCCGCCCAGCCCCAGTCGCTCCCCCGCCTGATCGAAGGGCGTCGTGCGGGCCCCCCGCAGCTCTTCGGCCCTGGCAGTCGGGGGCGGGCCGCGGAGCCCGCTGACGTCCGGGAGTCTCGCACGGCCTTCTTTCAGATTCTGGTTCGGAAACTGCCCGACGGACGGGAGCTGCGGGGACGGATTGTTGAAACGGAAGCCTATTTGGGAGGGGAGGACACCGCTTCGCACTCCAGGGGGGGTCGCCGGACTTCTAGGAACGCAGCCATGTTCATGGGACCTGGCACACTGTACGTGTACCAGATCTACGGGATCTACTTTTGCATGAACGTCTCCAGCCAAGGTAAGCAGGTAGCAGCAGGTTCCGGCGGGAGGCCCCGAACCCCCCCCCCCGCTGCCTCCAGCATCCCCTTCCCACCTTTGGGCCAGGGTGAATGCCCAGCTTCCCCGGAGGCCTCTCGTTTCAGGGGGAGAAAAAGTTCTGCCCTTTGAGTCAGCCCCCCCCCTTTAGTCTGCGTTGCCTTCGTCTGGCCAACCCTTTCCTCCAGAGCCCCCCTTGCTAAGGTTCAGGGCGCCTTCTGCACCTTCTGCACAGGGGAAGGCGCTGCAGTCCTCCTGCGTTCCCTGGAGCCCCTGCAGGGGCTGGAGGCCATGAGAGAGCTGCGCCTGGTCCGGCAGCAGAAAACTCCCCCGCGCCCTCTCAAGGACTGGCAGCTGTGCAACGGGCCCTCCAAACTCTGCCAGGCCCTGGCCATCGATCGAAGCTTTGACCAGCAGGACCTGGGCTGCAACTCTTCCGTGTGGCTGGAGCCTGGCCTGGAAGCCCCCGGAGACCAAGTCCCCATCTGCGCCCCCCGCATTGGCATCAGTGGGGAGTGGGCCCAGAAGCCTTTGCGCTTCTATCTCCAGGGCAACAAGTGTGTGAGCGTCATTGACAAAAACGCTGAGGGGAAACTGCCACGTGATGCCATCCCAGAGAAATGTGTTTAACCTGCAATATTAAGCAGGCATGAATACTGATGCCAACAAAGAAGGACTAGAAATGCCGTTTCAGGTTTATTTATGTAAACATGTTTTGCTCTATTCCAATGAGGGGTCAATGGAGCAAATGCACAATGTAATCAGCAGGAAAGGAAGCGCACGGCCCCAGGCCCACATTGCTAGAACAGCTGCTTCCACTTGATCCTAATGTGACCCCTCCTCGCCCCAAGACAACCCCACGATAATTGGTTAAGTTGGGAGTGCCAGAACAGTATGACTTAAGCAGACATACCAACAGCAGGATGTTTCAGAGCAGTAGTAGGGGGCAGGGTGGGTGGGCTATGAACTTTCACTATCCACCCAGTTTAATGTGAGCATTCAACCTGTGGCAGAAGGGAAGTCATTGGGCACTATTTCACCAAAGGGGCTCATCCTGAGTTCCCCCTATTCTTCCTGCTTTTAAAAGCCAGCTTCTTTCCCGCCTCCACAATTTGGAATTGAAGCTCACGCAGCTGTTCTGCTAAGACCTATTTCTGCAAGCCCTCCTTCCCTCCAAAGAAGGCTGTAGCCCCCAAGGGGACAGAGCGCAAAACGCCACACTGTGACACCTGGAAGAACACTCCTGTAATGTCAAGCAGGATCTGCTTCCTTGGATCTGGGAGCATCTGGCCTCGATGTGGCTTCTTTCTGGCTCCAAGTAAGCCTCCTCCTCTTACTTATGGAGGGACTGAAAGACAGAGATGACGGGATCCTCGTGGCTGGTCACCACCAGCACGCTACGGAACTTGTCAAAGAGCATGAGCAGATGGGAGCGGCGCATGTTCTCGTTGTACATGATCTCCTCCAAGTGATGACGTCCACGGAAATAGTGCAACAGCCTGCAAAGCGGGTGACGGGGGGGGAGAGGCGTGTTTCTGCGCTGCAGCCACAGCACATGGCTACCCACTCATGATTGTGGCCCAAAGCCTGAAATGCCTGCTCCCCAAGTCCCCACACAGAAGAGACAAGCTTGGCCCTGCTATCCAAACACCAGGCTTCCCAGGGCTTCATGAACGCCGTGCAGAGTTCAGGCCGATGGCCCCACTTTGCAACAGCCCACTTTTGCTTCCCGGCTACCTGGCAAACATGCGCAGATCATCTGGATTGTGAGCTGCGGGAACACTGAGAATGGCTTCCCGCTCGTGCTCTGAGAGGCTGGTCAGGAGGTTCTCCGTCATGCGCTTGTTCACGGGAGACTCTCCCCCAGGCAACAGCTCCGCACTGGAGTTGTCCATGCTGGGACTTGTCAGGGTCATGTCATCACTGCTAGCTGTGAACAAACAAGCGTGTGAGCCCCTGCCCTGAAAAGTGGACCCTTTGCAAAAAGGAAGGCCCTATGTGGGAAGAGAGGAGATGAGATCCCCACCATGACGGTTGCCACCTTTTCCTTTCTTGCTATGAAGACGGATGCAGCAGAGGGACTGAAGAGCAAGACAGCTTTCAAAAAACTGTTGGTAAAGCACCAGGACTCAGATTTATATACCGCTTCACAGTGCTTTAGAACCCCTCCCTAGGCGGTTTACAGAGTCAGTATCTTGCCCTAATAATCTGGGTCCTCATTTTACCGACCTTGGAAGGATGGAAGGCTGAGTCAACCTTGAGCCAGGATTGAACTATTGACTGGGCAGAGTCAGCCTACAATATCAAAGCCTGAAAAAGCTATTCCAGACATTGCTATACACACACACACACACACACACACAGCCTTTTAGAAATAAGCAGAAAAAAAAAGATTATTATGACATGAACCTGACTTGGCTATTATGAAACTAGACCTCCATTAGGCATGAAATAGGGTTGGGTGTCTTTGGGCCACTCCCCCTCTCTCAGCCCAAACTCTACAGGGTTGTGGGGAAAATAGGAGGGAGGAGTTACAAACATGTTCATCAGCTTAGTATCAGACTATCTATCTATCATCCTCTTCCTCTCTGTATAGGACTTGAGACCCAGGAGTCAATCACCGTTTCCCTGGCTGGGCTGAGCCCTGGGGAAAAGGGGGCTGCCACTTACTGGGAGAACCAAAACTGAGTGCGCTAGGAGTGCTGAGGCTTCGGCCCCCAACTCGGGAAGGAAAGGACAGCTCTTCTATTCTGGTGCGAAAACCCTCTTCCTCCTCCTCCTCCTCCTCCTCCTCCTCTTCTTCCTTTGGGGGAACCATTAGGCAAGCGTAGCTGTGCAGCTGAATGAGAAGCCGGTGCTGGAGCATCCAGGCCACCATCCGAATGAGATGTGTCTGGGAGAGAAGGAGAGGTCATCAGAGAGGCCAAAGATCTTGGCCATTACAGCATCTTGATCATACTGAGGGTTAAGAAGTTTGGGAGGGAGGATGAAGAGCTGGGACTTGCCTCCTGAATCGCTGGAGCAAGAGGGTCCTTGAGCTCAGACAAAGAAACTGGCCAGGAGAACTTGGACAGAACTGCGGGCAGGTCATGGCCTGGAAACTGAGAGGAGAACTCCTCTGCCAGAGGGGAATAACTGCAGAAGGGAAGGGCAGGAAGTGAGCGGGCTGTCCTCCTCCCTGGCTCCTGCCAGGCCTTGGGTGCCCCGAGTCAGCCGCATCAGCACCTGTTAAGCCTTGGAGACAGGTGCTGATGCACACATCCATCCCTGCAGCAGAAAGAACAAGATGAACAACTCACAGGCAGACACTGGCGTTGGGGGACATCATGTAGACGTTGTTCTCACACAGGGGATAGACCATGAGGGCCTTGCCCCAATAGACCAGATGTGCAGCCAGCTGAAACACCTGCCAAAAAGAGAAAGTGTCTGTTGGGGCAATTCAGCAGCACCTCCAGGTAGGACAGGCTGGGCAGGACCAATGTGGCAGCGAGCTCCCTCTCCAAGGAGAAAGAACAGGTACACTCTCTCCTGCCTATGCAGCTCACATTAAGAAAACCCAGAGCCTGACAGGAGAAAGCTCCCATTCCCCTGCAGCTTTCATTATTAAGAGGGCCCCGAAATCCCAGCTGCCTGGAAGCAGGGGGAGGAGAGACTCGCTGCCCTCACGTTCAGCCTGTGGGCCAATAAGGAAGGGAAGGCAGCCCACTCAGATCCCACAGGGTCTAATCCAGCCGGCTGGCTCTTCTGGTCCTCTTAGAAAGAAGCAAGGTACAAGTAGGCAGAAGGATGCGCTACGCCTAATATAAAGCTGGGCTTTAATGCCTCAGTTGTTGTAGTGGAAAAGATCTTCCCTCCCCCACAACGTTTTTCTTTCCCTGGGAGTTCTCACTGCCTCTTTGGGAGTTAACTTGGCTCCTGTGTTTTGGAAGAGGGGGTCCACCTGTGGTCTGTTATATAGCAGATCTAGCAAAAAGCTTTGGAGTCCCCTCTGAGTTCACCTGGAGCAAGGCCAGGTCAGCATCCTGAGCCAGCTGCTGAAGGTTCTTCACCGCAGAGGTGGTTTTGATCACTCGAACCAGAGCAGGGGAGCAGTCGAGGGGCAGTTCGCTGAGGAGAGACTTCTCATCTTTAAGCAGCAATAAGGCATGGTAAGGCCTGCAAAGAGATGGCAAAATGAGGGGGTGTGTAGGGGTTAGGACAACCTACAATGGCCAAGAAAAAACTACTGGATTAATTTATGCAATGTCTCCACTTCACAAGATAGGACTTAGGATAGGTACAAGAACCTCGGTGAAACAGAAGTAGTGACCGATTCCTCAAAGACTGAATGTGTAATGTGAGAAAAGTGATTTTCATAGGATTTATGAAAAAATCACAATACCTTCAGGGGTAAGATGCATGGCCTATACGTTATATAAATAAATAAATATACAAGTAAATGAATACATTAATAATAATAATAATGATGATGATGATGATGATAAAGTTGGAAGGGACCTCGGAGGTCATCTAGTCCAACCTCCTGCTCAGGCAGGAAACCCTATACCATTTCGGACAAATGGCTTCTAGGTGAATTAGAATGAGACCCTCCCTTACGCCGCACAAGCTGAACATCAGACAATCTATCCTGTTTGGCAGAAATCCTGGGTGTGAGTTTGGTGAACAAATAGCTGAGAAGCTAAATGTTGGTAGACTGCGGTTCAGACTATGTTAGATGTATGAAGTGAAAACATTTTGAGCACTGCCATAAGTAAGAGTATGGAGATGATACCTGCATAATTAAGTAGCTGGTGGTCGAAGAACAAAATGCTTCCTCAAGATTTCCCTTGGAGCTTGCAAGCCATGAGATCATGAAGGAAAATGGGGCAAATAAAGTATGGAAATGAGACAGACAAGGAGGCCATGAATTCTCAGGTCTTGCTTCCAGCTATTCATCTCTCAAAGCTCCGAACATTCTCACCCACAATCACCAAATTTCAGATACAGATTTTCAGCTCCCAGGCAGACTTAGCCTCATCTACGTCCCGAGAGGACTGACTGAGGTAAGAAAAGATTCTAAGCCAAGTTGCACTCAGAAAATAGAGCAAAATAAAATAATAAATGTATTAGCAATAAAACCCTGTCTCACCGAATAGCCTTCAAGCTTCTTTCAATGGCTTCTGGGGGGATGAAACTGGATGCCACATCATGGATTTTATGAGGCAGACAGAAACTCACTTCCAGCCAGTTATTGATCTGTATTTGGACCAACCCTGTTGTGCACAGACTGAAAGGAAAGAGAGAAGCACCAGGAGGTTCAGGGAGCAGCCTTTTTGCATGACACTTACTCAGCCCCCAGGGAACCTGAGCAAAATGTTCTCCAAGGTCCCCTCCACCCTTTACCTTCAACAATTGAGATTTGACTCAATAATACAGTATTCCCTTTTATATAGACACTGCCACCTGCTGGTCACCAAGAAGCTGTGCAAATCAAGTCATACTAACAAGCAGCCCTTTGCCTCAGCCCAGAGGAAGGCTGCTGCCCACCAGGTGGAGCTGAGTAGCTGTCTCAGAGTGGCATCTGGCTGACCTCCCCAGGAAGGCCTTGTCTTTGCCTCCTGTGCTCTGCTGTTGGGCATCAGAAGAGAGGGAAAGCAACAGGCAGGAGCAGGACTAGCCGCAAACCAGCCCAGGGAGGGGAATAAAGCTCACAATGCTTATCTTGGGGGGGGGGAGGAGAGTGCGCTGCCTGCCTCCAGAGAGCTTACAAAGCCTCAAAGGGAAGAGAGAGCCCAGCTTTGTGCAGGTTTCCCTCGCCTCAAGCAAGCAGTGCACTGACAAGCAGAGGAGCCAGAGAACCAGAGAGCGATGGTTTTCAAAAGAAAAGCAGCCAGTTAAATTTAGATAATTCTTGATATTATGAGAAGATGAATTGATCTCTATCTAGTTTAATCTCCCAATTCTAAACTGAGAGGTTGTGTTTCACATAAGCCTTGCCCCAATGGAGAATAAAAGATAAGGGGAAGTCAGCTAAACACCCAACACCCTGAAGGTCTCATTCCAATTACCTTGTGCTTGGGGGGCGGGGCGGGGCGGGGGGGAGCTACAGAATCTGTAACCGTCTTGCAGTGAGTTTCCCCCCTGGGCTCCCCAATGTTGGGATGAGGCTGTCCTCCCCTACTGAAGGGCACTCCTGAACACCATGACAAGGCCTGTGGCTCTGGAAGGAAGCCGCCGGCATGACCTCCAGAGACAGCCATCTTCCAAGAGCTGCTGATGGGGAGGTAGGGGGTGGGGGTGGTAAAGATATTATTACCTGTCGTAAGCCTCTTTAAGGTCTCTGGCCAGCTTGCACTTGGGAAGGATGTGAGGGAAAGGCGACTGAGGGCCATCCCTTGCTGTGGAGCGAAAAAATAGTTTTGGAGCAGCTGAAGCTCCAGAGAACCCAACCGCAGAGCGCCTACCCTCTTCCCAACAATTCATTCTTGGGACATACCTGATGCTGGACTTTATTATTAATCTAATTAATCAAATTTGTATAACTGCCCATCTCACAAAGACTGAAACGTGCTACTTTGTGTCATCCTGGCTAGCAGTTCCAACTGTTGGCTGCACAGCAAAGGTCAACCGGTCTAGCCTGGGCCTTTCAGGGGATCAAGTGAGGGGGGCTAAAACAGCCTGCCTTGGACACTGGCTTTCAACTCAGGAGTCCAGGCTGGCAAACATCCCCTGCAGGAGCCATGTCCTGGAAAGCGGCATCCCAAGTGGACAAGATCGTAAACTGCCTGTGGCTCACTTTCTGACATGGCTGAAACTTCATCTTGAATGGCTAGGATGAGTTTGGCCTCCCTGGTGAGATACTGGCAGCGTCTCTCTTCATGCTGAAGCACAATGGCGATGCGCCGGGAGAGGTTATGCAGGCAGCTGATCACAGAGGGGTCCGCAGTGGCCTGAAAGCAGAAGCAAAAACCGTCCATCGAGGGTGGCCTGGCAGGCCAGATGACCTGGAGGAAGAAGGCACCCACCCGGGGACAACCTGACCCATTCTCTCCCTCCGGCCAGCCAGCAGCGGAAGGCTGCCTCACACTGAAAGCTCCAGGATAACAAGAGCTGCTACTGCAAAATGTGTGAACCAGTGATAGCATCCCTTCAGCTACTCTTATTTGGGCAAAACATCTCAATGACACACACACAGAGACACACGCCAGCATCTCCCCCCCTCCCGGCCTGCCCTTGAGCCCAAACAGTTCCTTCCCATTTAGAGACGTCTTAATGTGAGGACAGGCTCACTGCCCTGGAGCAAACCCTCCTCCAACTCTCGGCCTGAGTCTTGTGGAGCTTTTGGCTAGAACAGGATTTCAGGAGAACCTGACGAAGCACCAACCCACATAACTGACCACACTGCAGAGCCCAGAGAGGCTGCCTAACCACTCTGAAGCAGGGAGAAGGCAGGAGCCCAGCTATTATCAGCCACAGCCAGCTGAACAAACAGGGCCTCAGAGAGTTAGTAGCCCAAGTGGACAACCAGCTGTCCAAGGCCTGTTAAGGGAATGGAATGCAGAGCAGCTGATAACATGTGCCACCCAAAGTCACAAACTATGACTCGGCACTACAAAATGGGCCACATTTCTGCTGAGTCACAGCATGGGGTTAAACTTCAAGCTTCACTGCAACCGTCTCCCTGTTGATAACACCCTGGGCCTTTGCCTGTCCAGCTGCCACTGGCAGATGGGCCCCACCCTGGAGCTAGAGTGCTACTCAGAGCCACAAAGCCGTAGGTCCCGAGAGAAGTCCAAGCTAGCCAAGGCGGGGGAGAGTGATGTCTTTGCCAATAAAGGCCAAAGAGATGACCAGGAAGAGCTGACCCAAGCAAGGGCTCTACAGCTGGTTGTCTCACCAGCACCGTTCGGTAGTATTTCTTTTCAGGCAGTCTTACCCTTAAAGCAAAAACCACATTGAAGAGAATCATGGTGGGCATTTCCCTCTTGGGAGAAGGATCTGTCTTTGATACCTGCACAGCAAAAAAAGGCATTTAGGAAGTGTAAAAGCAAGCAGGTCCAGGAAGGCTGGGTGGGTGAGGCAATGCCCGAAAGGCAGATTTGTTCTTGGTTTGTTGAGATCCAGGGAAGGAGTCCCGTCTCTTGGCCACAGTGAGGTCACCTGGCCTGGAGGAGAACAGGCATAAACTGAAGTGTGTCCAGGTTAAGGAGACCAAAGAGAGGCAGTCTCAGAAAAAGAAGTTCTGTGAGGGCAGGAGCTGAAATCATCCAATGGCTGAAGGATGCTGCGCAGAATACATGCCAAACCTCTTTCCTTGAGGAAGGTCTCAGCAAAAGGCCTGGTTAATGGGTTAACCCAATTCCTTGGATTCGCACAGTACGTTAAACAATGAACTAACCAAACAGAATAAACCACAAAGAACAGCCTATTAAAATATTTGCAATTGCATCTGCTAAATCTTCTACTGATCTAGTTAAGCGTGAACACCAACCATATTTAGACACACAACTGCCACTCCCAGGGGGGATTCAGAAATTAAGTAGCTGGTGCCTGTGAAAACCTGGGCCGATCAAGTAATTCTTATACAGCACATACTTACAAGTGTTTGATTTTTCACTAGAGAATTGCTTCCATGTGGAAACTAAGGATAAATTCATGCACTGTGCCTTGCTAAACGATTGATTTATTATACAATCATCTGTACAGCATGTCAAGGAAATGATGGTTTAATGGGATCTTAAAGCGATATGGGTTCAAAAACAGAGAACCCAAAACCCAAATACTCCCAATATTGAATCTCATTTTACAATGGAGGGTAAAAATTTTCACAGGGAAGATTGGCCACAAAAAGAGCTGAAATGGACCCTTTCCAGTCATCAGCTTCAGCAAGGAATATGGGAAGCAGTGTTTGGGTTTGAGATCCTAGCCGTTGGCCTGCCTTTGGCACAGCTCTTTGATTCTGCAGGTAGTTCCAAGCTGGGAAAGGGGCAAGAGTAGAAATTCAGTAATAATTGGAAAGAGCCTCTAAGTTTCAGCTGCTGCAAAGGTGTTCTGGACCTGTGACATACCTGGCCAAAGGCATGCTGCAGCAGAGTTGGGTGCCCAACAAAACGAATGTTATCAATCTTCAGCTCAAACTTTTTGCCACACATGTCCGATTTAGTAGCCAGAATTGTTGCCAGAATGACATCTGAAAACCTTCAAAGCAGAAGCATAAGAACATAAATAGTATGACTGTGTTTTTGGTGACCTAAAGACATCTCAAAGCCAAATAGCATTTGTATTGAACATTAAATATTATTCTGTAAGCATTGTGGATAAATAAACACTAGGATGCATTTGAATGCCATTTATTTGTCCAAATTGTACATTTAGAATCATCAGAATTACTGAAAAGAAAGCATTGCAGCCAACGATGGGACAGTCATGCAACTCTCAGAAAGAAGTGAAGAGGTTAGAAAGATTTACTTCTGTTGGAGGCAGAGAAGATGTAGCAGTTGAAGCAGATTCCCAAGTATAGGCTGTTCCTGAGCTGGGTCATAAAGGCTCCCAAAGACAAGGAGTCCCTGCTCAGAACAGCAAAAACATTTTCCTCCCCTATTCCCAACCTCTGGTCACTACACTAATGTCATGTAGCCTCTTATCTCTGCGTGATGCTCTGCAGGAAAAGGTGCAGTCTCTGGAATTGGGTATGTCTAGTTTAATGAAGAGAAGGACAAGGGGAGACATGATAGCAGTGTTCCAATATCTCAGGGGCTGCCCCAAAGAAGAGGGAGTCAAGCTATTCTCCAAAGCGCCTGAAGGCAGGAGAAGAAGCAACA